TTTTTTTTTTTTTTTTAAATTATGAGTCTATCTATTCCAATTTCAAGGGAGGAACAACAAAAGCATGTTTTCTGAATGTTTTACATCTGCATTTGCTGTGAAATCTTTTTGGCACTGTTGATTGATTAGCACAATAAAGAAAAGCCACTGATTGAGCTCAATGTTAATTTTCTCATTTTAAATTTCTAGAATACCTTACTTATGTATATACCTGATGAACTCACTTTAAAGATTGGTCCAGTTCACCTAACACCTTCTTAAAAAATTTTTAAATATGTTTGAAATGCATGCTAGATAAACACAGAAAACAAATTTTTTTACCTAGTTTTATTTTCTCTCCTGTTTGTGTTTATCTTTTCTAAAAGCAAAATAGTCTCTACAGTAGCTTATTGAATTAATAGATGGTTCGGTCTGTTGTTAGGTTAAGACAGGTGATCTCTGGAACTCTAAATTTAAAAGCTGAATAAATACAGACTTGTAAAATTTCCCCTCCCTTGTATCATAGGGAAAGATGGAGAATAGAGGTCACATTACAAACATTACCTCAAAAGACTAGAGTATTAAAAAGGACATTTTACAGAAAATAAACTGCCTTTGTGATCATTTTGTAAAGTGGTAGTAAACATAAGTACCACTGTTTTAAACTATGAGGTTATCAAGAGCTTCTTGTAAAATCTCTTGCAGGAAAAATCACTACCATGAGAATTGCAGTGATCTGCTTTTGCCTCTTAGGCATTGCCTACGCCCTTCCAGTGAGTACAGCTGAATCTTCAAGAAAATTCCGGAAAATAAATGAATTGTATGCTTCCATGTGCTAGGAACACATTCTCATTGCAATTTGTATCTTTTCTATTCGAAGGCTAAATACCATACTGAATCTGGCAGCTCTGAAGAAAAACAGGTAAGCGTCCTTTAGATTTCTCATATGGCTGAATTATTTATACACCTACATAATACAAGAGCCACTATAAATACATTTGTTGAAATTTTAATTATTTTCAAAATCAAGTCCATTAAGTTAGAAGTATTTATCAGCTCTCTGCTATACATTTAGACAAGTACCAAGCACAGCATAGTTTTTACTCAATATATTTTATCTTAAAGTTGGAAGAAGAAAAAAAAAAATCAATTTTTTTTTGACAGAAAATAATGCTCTGGGCACTTACGTAAAATGTGTTCTATGAAATCATGTGACTTTTTATTTCTAGGACTTTTTATTTCTGCTGTTTGGAAGTAGAAAGATCCATTCTTTGTTTTATTTAGTGGAAGGTTAGGCTTAAAATTCACCTAAGATATTAGTCAGGAATAGTTGTATGACTATGATTCTTAGAACATGTCCTCAGATATTGCCAAAGAGGCTTATGGTGAATAGAAATTCTGTTATGTTGCACTTGTCAGGTGATTTCAGTTCGCATTTTCATAATGAAACATAAAACCAAGTCATTAGCCCAGCATCAGAGATGCATCTGACCCTCCACAATGGATGAAACAATGCCAGGCAAACAGCAAATGGGCATTGTCCCAAGACGCCTAGACAAAAAGGCACACAAAGTACAATTCCAGAAGAACAGGGGAAAAAGGCCAATATAATGTTCCCTGGGTTCAATTATATTCCTTGATGAAAACATTGAGAGGTATTGTATGTGTGTTTGTGTCTGTATCTATGTATGCAGCGTGCAGAGGCACTGTGTAGGTATGTCTGTTTTTCAATTGATATGGAATATGGATGCTGAAATACAAAAACAAACTCCCAAAAATAACTTTTCAGAGAAAACAGAGGTCACACCATTTGAGGCAAGAATTAGTGCCTTTTTAAAATATAGCAGGGATGCAGTGTCAAAAAGTACATGAAGCAATGCTAGTGTATGTCCTTAGACGCCGCTTGGGATATTAATGAATGAGCTCAAGACTCTAAATTCTAGAATGCCAGAGCTTTAGAGTTTGCAGGCTGTAAGGGTGTGCCCCAGAATGCTACTGAACATTCACAACGTGGCTAGTGTAAATGGGGACTACATTTTTTGCTTAATTTTAATTAAATTTAAATAGCCACATGAGACTGTTGCTGTTATTTGCTGAGGAGTCACTTATGACTCATAGAAACTACATGGCAGGACAGAAGTGCCAGAACTTTTCTCCCATTTAGCCCCTGGTGGTTTGAAACACTGGCGTTTCAGTTAGCAGCCAAGTGCTTACATGTGGCTAGTGGGTACCACATTAGACAGCACAGCCTTAGAGGAGTTATCCTTGTTCCATGGAGAAGAAACAATGAAGATTAACACTAATTCAAGGCACCTCTGCTTTAGCTGTGCTTTATCTGAGAAGAAAATTCAGCTAGCAAGCATGGAACAGCAAATTATAATGTGAAGATCATTGTTAAGAGCTAGTTTGCCTAGATTTGAATTTTGGCTCTGCTACTTACTACCACTTAACCTCATTGTGACTGTTTCCTGGTCTACAAAATGTGGATAAATAATGAGTCCTGGTGTGGCATTGTGGATTAATTGCAAAGTCTGTTTGAACCATAGGTTGAGGGATCAAGTTCACCAGCTGCTCCTCAGAAACCCTATACAGGGTTGCTCTGGGTAGCAATCAACTCAATGGCACTTAACAACTATAATATCATAGGGAGTTGAGTTGTTGTTTTTGTTGTTGTTGCGAAGTGCCGTCGAGTTGGTTCCGACCCATAGCGACCCTGTATAGGGTTTCCAAGGAGCAGCTGGTGAGCTTGAACCGCCAACCTTGCAGTTCAAACGGCTTTTCTGTCTGGCGCATTAACCCACAGCACCACACGAGGACTCCAGGGAGTTGAGTAGATGTAAATCACTTTGAAAAGGTGCCGAGACCCTAGTGAATGCTACATTTGTTGTTGTTGTTATGTGCAATGGAGTTGGTGCCAACTCATAAAGAACTCATTAAGTGAATCTACAAGAAAAGATATACAAAAGGTCCCAAAGACTCTGGTTGAAAGTATTCATTCGTATTACGCTCCTCCATCAAAAAATGGTAATATAGGTAGGTTTCTATTTCCTTTAATGAGGAACATGTAAATTTTTTGTAGCTTCACATCAAATACCCAGATGCCGTGGCCACATGGCTAAAGCCTGACCCATCTCAAAAGCAGACTCTTCTAGCACCACAGGTATTTTTTAACTCCTCTCAATAGTGTGGGGGGGGGGGAAGAAAAGGGGGGAGGGGGGGGGTAGCTACCAAGCCAATCATTTGAGTTGGTTAAATGGATTCATCTTTTCCCTCCTGCATGTTGGCTACTCTTTTAATCAAAGAATTAAAACACTCATGATATATACTAATAATGTGCCCTTCCTTCCTATGCAGAAGGCCATATCCTCTGAAGAAATTGACCACCTTAAACAAGAGGTGAGTTCTGCTGTTCAACAGGTGGCTGATAAAAATCTTGCAGAGAAGAAAGAAGCCATTCTTTCTTCTAATTGCATTCCTTGGATTTTCTCCTGATGAAATTCCTTTAGCAAATTCTTCAGTAGATTGCCAGTCTAAAACTTGATCAGTCAACAAACATGTATTTACAAAATGTCATAAATACCAGGTTTCTTCATGTATGTTCCATGCTGTAAGGAATATTTATGAATGCCTGTTATCTTCAGTTTATGATATTTTATAGCTGTTGTACCTAATATCTGATTAATTAACTGGTTAATCCAATTAAGAATTTTGAGCTGTAGTTTAACTACACATGCATATTAGAATCTCCTTTACATTATCCATGCTAACAGCCAGGTGATTTTATGTTTTGGCACATACATTTTGAATATGCATGCTCCAATATCCAGTGAACTCCCAATATTTCAAGTAGAAAAAAAAATCAACCTCATAATTATATATCTGTATCTCTTGATTTTAGTAAATTGAATCTAGTAAATGAAAAATGTCCAGCATGTACAAGAAAAAACCATTATCAATATGAATGTTGTATCCACTTATTTGGCTTGAAAACATCTATCAAAATAACTCAGAATATTATTCCATTGATCCTTGTGGGAGATATCAAAGGAGAAATTGGAAGATGCTCAAAGTAGCTCCTAAAAGCCCTGAAGTGTATTGTGAACGCATCGTCAACCAAATAAATAAAAAATAGTATGTACTATATGTAAAGGCTGAGGGTACATAACAATTTTTGTGGCCATCTGGATTTTTAGACCCTCCCAAGTAAATCCAATGAAAGCCAAGACTTGACAGATGATGTGGATGATGAGGATGACAGCGACCATGTGAACAACCAGGACTCTGTTGAATCCGATGACTCAGAAGACCATGATGATACCGATGACCCCGACCGTTCTGATGAATCTCACCATTCCGATGAATCTGATGAACTGGTCACTGATTTTCCCACTGATATGTCAGCAACTCCAGTGTTCACTCCAGTTGTGCCCACAGTAGACATTTATGATGGCCGAGGTGATAGTGTGGCTTATGGACAGAAGTCAAGATCTAGAAAGATTTCCACACTTCTATTCAAGGTAAATCCCTTAACAGATACATAGGGTACTTAAGACTAGAGTTCAGTTCAGGAAATTAGAACCTGCATAGCCATTAATTCACCAAGCAGCAAACAAGCATTTATAACTATCAAATATGAAACCTTTTCCTATTTGGCTATTTTATGTTTAATCCTACATGATATCCTTTTAGTTTCCTCTCTCAAACACAATTCTAATTTTCTAAGTCATAGCTATAAAACATTTATTCTACTCATTTTTTAGATTAAATTAAAACTTCAGAAAACAACAATTCATTTCTAAATGTAATGACCATGCATTGAAGCTAAATTATACAAGGGAAATCATAGAGTTCTAAATTACACTGAATCCATAATAAAAGGATCTGAATTTGACAAAGCTTTGCCATTTGCTAAGGAACCCTGGGAGCACTGTGGATTAAGTGTTGGGCTGCTCACCAAAATATTGACTATTTTAACCAACCAGCTGCTCAGTGGAAGAAAAATGAGGCAGTCTTCTTCAGAAACCCTATGGAGCAGTTCTAGTCTTATCGGTTTGCTATGAGTTGGAATCAACTCAATGGCCCTGTGCCTTTTATTGTTGTTGTTTGATTTTGCCATTTACTCTTCATTTGACTTTTGACTTTCACTTTGCCTTTTTTGTGAGACAAGGCTAATGTGACCTTTCACATAGGTTCCATTACATATATAATGGATAAACAATTGATAGGTATAAACTAAAGAAGATGACTTATGGAAGAGCATGATCAATTACAAAGTACCATACTTTTTTTTTAACATTAGCAAATATTTATACAATTTTCTGTATAAATTAGCCTGAAAGTTAGAAAGCAAAGCAGAATTAAAATGTTCCCATTCCTGGGTTGTTCTTTTAATTCTCTTTCTTTTGTTCTGTGATTCTGTATCCTGATGATCTCACCTCACTCAAGAAATCTGAGGCATTCGGTGATGAACACAAGGCCATGTCTGTCATGCAAGCCATGAAGAAGGTTTCTAACTGGGACAGCCAGCAGCAAGGCAGTCATGAAACCAGTCAACCGGATGATCACAGTGTGGAAACCCACAGCCTCGAGCAGTCCAAAGAATACAAGCTGAAGGCAAATGATGAAAGCAGTGAGCATTCTCATATGACTGATAGTCTGGAAAATTCCAAAGTCAGCCAAGAATTTCACAGCCATGAAGATAAGCACCTCCCAAGCCCTAAGAGTGAGGACGAAGATCAACAACTGAAATTTCGCACTTCTCATGAATTAGAGAGTACATCTTATGAGATCAATTAAAAGGAGAAGAATAAAATACAGTTTCTTACTCTGCTTTTAGTAAATCGGGGGGAAATTCGTATAGGGTTTGGGAGAGATTATGAAATGGTTATTTCTCAGTTTAGCGGGTGAATGTATTTGTATGTGGGTCTGGAAATAGATACATGTTTTTTTGATCATTAGTTTGTGGCTTAGTGGTAACACCCTGGTAAACTAACAGCTTCAGGGTTTGGTCTATAGTCTCTTGCTATCAGAAACTAGCTCTGCATTTTAATGTGTGTTTTTCTTTCATGGATAGAAATTTATGTAGATGCAAACAAAACACTTTTACACACTTAAAAGAGAGGATATTATATTGTGTGTCACCATACATCTTTTATTTTTTAAATTAGTGTACATTTTGTTGTGATTACTTTTGTTTTTGTGAATAAATCTTATATCTCAGATATAAGGAGAATTTGATGGTGTCCGTTGCTTCTCTTACTTGGTTTCCCACAGTTGCTCTGCAATTAATAAAATGTAACCATTTTAATGAAGCTGCAAGATTTGACAGAGTAATCTAGGGCTTACAGACTCGTGATGTGGTGCTGTGGGTTAATGTGCTAGGCTACAAAGTCAGTTTGAACTGCAAGATCAGCAGTTCAAGCTAACCAGTTGCTCCTCGGGAACCCTATACAGGGTCACTGTGGGTTGGAACTGACTCGATGGCACTTAACAACAACAAATATATATACATATATCTAGGGCTTTTGGACTCCTGGTGTGGCTCTGTAGAATCAGCACTAGATGGCGAACCACAAGGTCGACGTTCAAATCCACCAGTTGCTCCTTGGAAACACTATACAGGGTCACTATGAGTTTGAACTGACTTGATGGCACTTAACAACAATCTAGGGTTTGCAGATTCAATTAGCTGAGCTAAAGTTCCTAGCCAAAGGGATGGAGCCAAACAGGGGTGGGTATTCAGCCTGCACTTCTTCAGCCACATGGAGATCTATGAGCCTTGTGCTAATTATCACAAAACCGATCATTTAAAAAAAGAAAAGCTACTAAAAGCCTCAATGCAATCAAAAATTAATATCATTGTTTCTTACCATTCTCCATTAATTTGCTCAGTGAATGTATCACTCTCAAGTCCTTGGATGAAACCTCCGGTTGGTCTTAAATCTTTTTTGATGATTCATAGATAACAAACAGTTATTTTTTATTGGAAATTTTTAAATTACTACTTGAAATAATAATCAAAATTCCAGTTTCATTGAAAACTTCTGGAAACCACCTCCTTTATTTTCTTGTCTTCCTCTTCTGGTTTTCCTAAAACTAGAAATCCCACTTGGAATTTTTTAATTCTCTATTAGATTATTTTTGGAACAAAGGGGAAAAGGTAGATTGTGGAACTTCTTTAAAAGAATCATAATGAAAATGCAGAATCAATAGAGTATATAGTTAGAAAGCAGTTAACTCAGTGAAAAGCCATAGTCTCAAATTTCTGCAGCAACAAAAGATAAATAAAAATAAATTCAGTTTTTATTTTAAAACATAGAAAAGAACAAAAGAGTACAGTGAAAGAAAGTCAAGAAAACCAACTCAATTAAAAGCAAAAAATAATGCAGTAGAGAAGAGAACAATAATAGAAACTAATGATTAATCAAAATGTTGGGTTTCTTTGTTAAAAAAATACAAAATCAACAAAATAGGCAAACCACCAACTATTCAAATAATGAAATGAAAGTAGAAAACACAAATAAGTAATGCGAACGAGAAGACAACCAGTGTAACCAAGGAAATTTAAAAACCAAAGAGATTATTTTGCTCAACTTTAGATAAAGCAAATTAAAGACCTAGATGATTTGAAACTTTTTCTAGGAAAATAAAATTTGTTACACTTCACAAAAATTCTCAAATGATGAAAATTTCTGCAAGATGACGACAGAATAGGCAAACACACTACCCGGACCCTCTTCAAGAAAGCTACAGAAGACCAAATGGCACAGATACAGATGATAATCCTGAAACCCTGCATTTCAGAGGAAAGGATGGCGAAGTAGGCTGAATACTTACTGGGAGGAGAAGCTGAGCAGGGGCAGGGAAAGAAGGAGACAGACAGCTGAAAGGTCCACTGACCAGGTGTGGCTCAGCAGTTCTTAAACTTTGCAAACAACTTTGGAGAAGACGATGGTCTGGTGGCTCAAATACACCTGGCTACAGGAAAGGTGTGAGTCTTTCTTGTTCCCCACAGGGATAGTCCCTGGCTGCATCGCCTTCATGCCTGAATTCAGGTGAACTCTGTCCCTTTGCATTAAAGGAATTGGCAAAGAACAAGGTAACAGGAATTGATGGAATATGAATTGAAATCTTTCAACAAAGTGAGGCAGCACTGGAGGGACTTAACTCATCTATGCCAAGAAATTTGGAAGACAGGTATCTCTGGACAACTGATTGGAAGAGATCCATATTTGTTCCCATTCCAAAGAGAAGTCACCCAAATGAATGCGGAAATCATCAGACAATATATTTGATATCCCATGCGAGTAAAATTTTACTAAAGATAATACAGAAATAGCTGCAACCATCCATTGACAGAGAACTTACAGAAGTTCAAGCCACATTCAGAAGAGGGTGTGGAATGAGGGCTATCATTGCTGATATCAGATGGATCTTGGCTGAAAGGAGAGAATACCAGAAATACCTGTGCTTTATTGACTACACAAAGGCTTTTGATTATGTAGATTGTGACAAGCTTGGACAACATTGTGAAGTATGAATATCCTGGAACACTCAATTGTGCTCATGAGGAATCTGCACATGGACCAAGAGGCAGTTGTTCTAACAGAACACAGGAACATTGAATGGTTTAAAATTAGGAAAGGTGTGTGACAG